AATAAATAAATAAATAAATAAATCTCCAAGAAAATGTATTTCCCTTCAAAGAGAATACATTTGTTTTATTTCTAGAAGTACAGATAAAACATTTTGTACCTTGTTTCTGGCTAGTGCCTTCTGCGAAGTCATTTCAATGAAAATAGATTTGTATAATTGAGTGAAAGTTGCAACAAGATATTAGACACTAATGTTTGTGCTATTCTCAATGTACTGGCCATTCCATAGTGGCTCATAGTATCACAGTTCATAATGCTCCAAATTTAATGAACTTGTACAAAAAGTGGGGAAAGAGACTGGATTTTCTGCTTTAGATTAGACTGCAAGGTTGCTCCTATTCTAGACAATACAGAGATTTATTTGTCCTTTAAATCACATAAATATGCTATGAATTGCTCACCATTTTCATTATTGTGTTTTGTCTGCTTCAGCCAGTTGTATAGTGATACAACATTGTTTCTGTTTTTGGCATCTGCTAAAAAAGTTTGAAACAATATGTGAATTAATATTATATGGAACATTTCCTCCTTTAATGTGCATTTTCTACTTCTACATTCACCAGCATTGTTTTAAAAAAGAGAACACTATAATACAAGATCTCTCTCTTATCCTACCATTCTCTTAGGAAATGATGCAACTTCAATTGTCAATTGTCTTCATATCTTGGGTCAAACCTTGGATGCAAGGTAAAATGAAACACAGTTTACTGTGCATTACTGTTTTATTTCCAAATCATGGCAGTCATTACAAAAAAAGTGATGGGGAACACGATGCTCCATAGTTTACTCTGTATTGAAAATTGTTGCAAAACCTGAAGTATTAGTAATGCATATTACAAAGGAAATCTATCCATGCATCTACACCACAAAAAAAACATTTCAAATAAAATGTAAGTTTAAGAATTTCACCCCTATCCAATGCTGGCATGTTGGGAGAATCTTATGTCTTTGGAAAAAAATAACATCATCACACCTAAATTAAGTAATGAACCATGCTTGCATGGTAAAATAAATGTATGCAACATTGCCACAATATGCATATTATCTGACTTTATAGAATGAATATATGGAGCATGTTTCCAAAAGGTACCAAATTCATCTAAACAAATTTTACAGTAATAAAAAAACATGCTGAGGATATGCATTCTTGTGCTATAAAAAGCAATTTTCTCTGTACTTAAGTGCTCAATACATTTTGATAATTTTGATCTGGAGATAATACTCTACTCCTCTCCATCAATATCCTTCTATCTATAAGTTTCCCCCTCAATTTTGGAATTTGGCACCTTTTGGAAACCAACTCCACATATAGATTCTAGGTCTTAAAATGAAGCTTTTGAATTTGAGGGGTACTAATGAAAGCAACATTGTATCAGTGCCAGTTCTACAATCAAAAGGTTTTCCAGCTCCTTGAAAAGTCTCCAACCTTTCTCTTTGGCTTCCCCATTCAATTGGAAGTCTCTTCCATCCCACTGACTGATGCAATGTCCCTTCAAAATCTTTAGGATTTTCTTTTGACACAGACTACAGAAATGTCATAGTTCCATGGGCATCTACTGCCCTCTTGTGAAATTTCTATGGCTAGTTATATATCGGTTGTTAGTGTTCCACAGGACTTCAATCCTGAATGTTACATGTGCTAAAAGAAAACAAGGAATTAATTAGTTATCAATTTAATGAATTTAAATTAACCATTTACTATAATTGTATGTGCATCTGACACGCAGGACGGTGATGAAGACAGGTTTGGAGTCTGTTAAAATGGCTTTGAGAACCTTTCTGGATAATGCTGCAGAAGATCTGGAGAAAACAATGGAGAACCTTAAACAAGGGCAATTCACACATACCAGGAGTCAACCAAAAGGAGTGACACAAATAATTAATTACACCACTGTAGCTCTCCTGCCAGTGCTATCTTCCTTGTTTGAACATATTGGACAGCATCAATTTGGAGAAGATCTGATATGTAAGTATTGAAATAAAGACATATGCATTTACATGTTGCTAAAATTCTTATGTTGACATTATGAAAGCCAGTCTTCCAGTAATCCTGATAACCAGATGTAATTGGTTTGTGCTGTGTTACTGGACTATTTCAATCACTATAAAAGAAGAATTCCAGAGTTAATCCCACTGAGTGAAATATTTGGATCATGGTAGTCTCAACAGATGCTGTGGCAACATAATGTTAACTTTAAATCATGATACTATTATGATATAGTGTTTAATTACTCAACTGTATACCAAAATGCATTGTTTTAACTTGAACTAGCTGAATGAGAATGTAATTTTACTTCATCATCTTATGTTTTTGCACATTTATAAAAAATCAATATAAAATGCTTCAGTTTCTCATTGTTTAAAATTGTTTTCTGAAAAGTTTATTGTGTTCTATTTTCTTTATATGAGTAACATGCAATGCATTAAAATATTTTGTGCTTTTCTCATTTTTAGTGGAAGATGTTCAAATCTCTTGTTACAGAATATTGGGCAGCTTGTATGCTCTGGGAACCAGCAAGAGTATCTACGTGGAACGGTAAGGGGGCACTATACATCATCCAAAACATGTTATGAATTTTTGGGATTGGAATCCTGGAGTTGCTACTGTCTGGAAATGTTTATTAATCATTTCAGTTAAACTATTCCTTTAAAAAACATTTTTTTAAAAATTCTGCCAAACATGTAATTTTTTATCATAGCTTTCCTCCATTAAGTTGAAGAAGTACTATTGGGTTTTTAACTCTAGTTTATCCCAAAGCAATCCTGTTAGGTAGAACAGTCTGAGAGACAGTCCTTGTCCCAAGGTCACATGTTTAAATTCATGGCTCAGTGGGAACTTCTGAAGCACAGTTTCAAACTTTGTAGTTGTAATGTTATATTCAATTGTGCTATGTTCAACAGCACTGAGGCAATGAAGGCCACAATTTTATGACAAATAGGAATTGGCAATATAGCAGCAACATGACATTTGCAAGCACTTGTTATAGAAAGTGAAGGGAAGCTTCCTTAAGAGGAAATGGCTTCCTGACTTTAAACTAAGGTTTATCATCCTGGCTGACCATGAATAGAAGCTGAGAATCGCAGTGAAGCCCTTGTGAAACCCACTTGAAGAGGGTTTCACCTGGGATAAGAAACCACTTCACCTCTTCCCTTGCACTGACCAGCAACATGATGCATATGAGTAAATTTCTTTACTTTGAGGTGCCTCAGAAAGCTAAAAAGATATGCATGTAACCAAGTGTCTGCACCCTGACCAAAAACAGAAGGAAACAGCTAAACCTACCATCAATACAACATAAAACTGACAAAGAAGAACAAAGCATGTTCAAAACAATTCAGAGGAAGGTTAGAAATTCTTGGTTGGCAAAGCCTAGTTAGGTCAACCTAGGAAAGTGGATAAGTGGTTGTAATGAGTAAAGAGGCTGAGATCTGGGGTGTGCCAACTTAAATAGACCAGTGTGGCTATGCCTGATCCAAGCCTTATACATAATGAGAGATAGGGCCAATGTTTCTCTCTAACCAGTAGGCAAAGAAGGGTAAAATCACTCCATCTAAAAGCCAGGCAGCGCAATTCTATCCCAAATCTCTAATCACTGGGTTTTTCCATTGCTTTATTTGGAGTATAGTTAATATGAGAACCAATGTAGAGGTAAGAGTGTTGGAGTGCAACTCTGGAGACCTTGACTCAGTCACATAGTCTCAGCTTCAGAAAACCTTGTGATAGGTTTCCATAAAATGGAAACAACTATAATTACTATACTCTGGCATTATAATGGAACATTATGAAATAACATCTTTGAAAAGCTTAAAATTCTTAATAAATATAAGCATGATATTATAATAACTATATGTAAGTGAAAGGAAAAGTTTTCAAAAAATAAAATCACAAAAATGTTTCAATTTGTAGGCAGCGTTCTGCTCTAGGTGAATGCTTAGCTGCTTTTGCTGGAGCCTTTCCTGTGGCATTTTTAGAAACTCACCTAAACAATCACAACACGTATTCCATTTATAATACCAAGACTACAAAAGACAGAACAGGTATGTATTCTTTCCAAATGTAAATATTTTTGAAATATTAATTTCATATATTATCCATAGTTTACTGCATGACATGTGTGATTTTTTTTAACACGACTTCTCTGTTTCTGTGACTGCTGCTATTGAACATTTTTCTTAGTTTCAAGAGCATAATTCTCAATGTCTGGCAGGGCCAGCACTATCATGATATTTGGTGAAACGTTTGTCTCAAGCAACAGAGAAGTGGAAAAGTTGGCCTTCCGCAACAGGAAAGCACCTATTGGTTTGGAAAACTATTTCCAAGCACAGCTATTTTCTCATTCCTTCCTCTCGGATGTCCTTAAGCACAAGGCACTGTAAAGGGATGACCAGAATAATAAGCCATGTTACAAAACAGGGAATTTTCCAGGCCAGTCCTTGTCAGTGAACCATTCACTTTACTCTATTATACTTGTTTCTGTCAATGGACTTGGAGGTGCATGGAGGAGGAGGAAATATTTATGTCTGCTTTTACAATTTTAGTATTTACTTTTATTTCTTCCCCCATATACTACTGTTTCTTTGGGTCTTATTTTCCCTCTCATGTATGTGGTCCTCTGTTTCCAGTCTCAGGACCTCATGATAGTCTCTGTTACACTTTCTCACACTTAAAAGATAATACTATATTTCAGCTCTACAACTGATCCATCCTACATCCATCCTCAATATGTGTACATGCTCATTCATAGAACATAATAGCTTACTACAAATCAAACCACCTGAAAATAGAAATATGGATATATTGGGCAGATTGTAACGCTGAGGATCCTTCAAAGCTAGATATTGAGGAAATAGTGTTCCCTGTGTAGAGTTATCCACTGCTGTTACATCCATTTTTTTTCATTTTTCCCTGGCAGGTGTTCAGGTATTATTTCTACTACTTCTTCCACTGTGAGCATGATGTTTTAAGTTATCAAAAAAGAGCAATGTCAATAGCAGCTGTTT